GTCGTGGTGATTCGTGTGGAGGCCCCCCCGCGGACAGCGGCGACGAGGGGATGGTTATAGGCGTGGCGTCAGGCAATGTGTCACCCCAGTCAGGCGGCGTCGACATGGCGGGCCAGAGACAATAGCAGCGAGGCGTGCACAGGAAAGGGGTCGTAACCAAAGCGCGCCACTGCTTCGAGGCCAGCGGTTGCTGTAAATACAGACGCAGTGCCCGGGGCTGGTTTGCTGTAGCCCAGCAAGAGGCCTAGGTGACGGGGCCAGTCAGGCTGCGTGCGGCAGGCAGCGCTTGGGCGCAAAGCGACCACACACACCCCCGTGCAGAGCAGAGCGGGGGCTTGAACACGAGCAGCAGCTAGTGGGACCGCAGAGCTCGGCAAACCGAAAACAAGGCAGGAGGTGAAGAACTGGACCACTGAGGTCGTGGACCGTGGACGTTAAGCGAACCCGGCAGCGCGCCGCAGGCCCCCTGAAGGAAGCAGCGGCCAAGCGCAGGCCGGGGACGCGTGCGCCCGTGCAGAAGCTCTCCGGGTCGAGAGTTCGAAGGCTCGTGCCAGCGAGGGGGAAGGGGAGCGGAGCCGGGCTGTCTCGACCCGAGGGAACTGGATGCACGCAAAGCAGAGCCAGGCAGTCCTCGGGGAGGAACCGGACGCTCGCACAGCGCGATGGCAAGCTAAGTGGCCTCGACAAAGGCCCGAACGACCGTGAGGGGCAGAACGAGCTAGCGAGGGGGCTCTCACTACGAACCTAAAGGCCCAGCTTGAGCCTTGAGCCAAAATACAAAGTTCTGTTAAGAATTTTTTCAACCGGCATTGGATGGAAAAATCCATTCAACTCTATATTTCTACTCTTGAACCCATTGAGCCCTGGGAAACTTGTTCACTGCTCCTGTATTTCCCTACAAAACCTTGAATGATTTTCGTGGGAGGTGAAGCATATATGATGCGCGGCAAGTGCGCGCCGAGCAGCGACGGCGAGGATGCCGCTCCAACGCAAGACGCAATGCCAAGCGGGCCGAGCGGGGAGGGATGGCAGGCACCACTTGCGCGCCCGCACACACGCAAGTTGATAATCAGCATTCAGCTTGCCGTGCCAAAACTTCGTGCTCGGCACACCGCCGAGACAACTCGTCGATGGCAGTTGGACTGCGTGACTTTCTTGCTTTGTTGCCGCCCGAACTGCATCTGCCAGCCAGGGAGATCTACGTGCCCGGGGGCATTACGCAGGTTGCTGCCATGTGTGCGCCGTACAAAGATCCCCAGTTTCGCCGACATTCCATGTTCGGGAAGGGTGCCTTCAGTACATCTGCGGACAAGCAAGTTTGATCTGATCTGGTTTGGCTTGCGAGCTGTAGCTCGGCACAACTTGTGGTAAGTAACTTAAACAAGTCCCAGTAGCCCCCAGCATTCCCAAGCACGTTTAAGTCCAAGTACACGTCGGCAACAACGTGCCCAGAGTGGTGGCTCCGGCATTGTAGGCATTTCTTGATAGCAAGCACAGCTCTAGGCGCAGCAATTGCGTGTGAACGCATGTCGGAATGGGTTGCGGTGCATCTGCGAGCCAGGCAAAGGGCATGAACCAGCAAGTGGCCACATCGGCAAACACGCACGTTGTGCACGTGTGCAGGCTGTCTGGCCAAAGCGAGCTGAAAAGCGAGCATCGCATCAGCATCCGGATGCAGATCCAGAGCTGCAAACTTTGTTGGACAAGCATGGTTACTTGGCTCCGCAGAAGCCAGAGTTGGTTTTGAAATGGAGGTACTGCGTTAACGTGTCTGCAAGAGGATGTTTCGCGCTTGATGCATTGTTTCGGGAAAGGCTTGTCCACTCAAATGGAATCCTTACAGCGACTGGGTGTGACCAGACCTGGTCACATCGCAGATTTGTTGGTGACCGACTTGGAGGAGGTCGGGATGTGTACTGCTCAAGGTGCTGGAATGGCCCTGTTTCGACGAACAGAACAACAAATCCCGATAGGAGCAGAGCGCACAGCATGACAGGCAATGGTCGATCAAGATGCCATGTACCGAAACCGTGGTGGAAAGCATTAAGCCAGTGCACCCGAGCAGAACTGATTGAACGTTGGAGTACGGCATCCGAAATGTATGTTCGCGAGTGGCTGTGTCGATGGTCAGGCATGAGATGGGTGGCACTTGAAGCATCGCTGACCCCTCACGATCTGTCATTGCTTACGGTATCCTTGCCCCTAAACAAAGCCAGCATGGCTTCGCGGCTGCACTGCTGACATGAGCGAGCACATTTGCGAGCAGTACCTTGTCACCCTGTTCGCAGGCAGGCTTGTCGCGGGTTCAGATCCGGCAGCTTCAACGAGATGTGGCCCGAGTGCCAGCAGCCTCCACTAGTTCCTGGTCCAAGAGCAGTCAGAGAGCATGCAGCATCGCGAAGTTTGCAGTACTAGAACCTCTGGTAGCCGATGCGTTGTCAGCGGTCACTGTTTTTTGTCGGAATGGGATGAGACATGTGCACACTAAGGTTCCGAGTCGCCCGAGGTCTCACCGTGTGGAATTCAACATCCAACATTCGATGATGTCGCCGTGCCTCCCAAGGAGTAGCTTGCTGCAAATCGTAACCACTGTGCTGTGGAGTGTATGATGCATGCCGCATGTTGGTGCTTCATGCTGTCTCTGCATGGTCTTCAATGTGCGGTGGAGAAGACCAAGGTCAGCGGCAAGCCATGACGGAGAACCACCTTGCTCAGCAGCCGTGCTTTCGGTGCCTCGAAGTCTAGCGAGTGAAGCTACAGTCGCAGAAAGCACCCATCTGTTCTCCCATTCCATTTTTCGCACCGCCAGCTCGGGATTTGCTGCGAGGAAGAGTCTCCATCAGGGCCTTTGCAGCCGCTCCGGCAGCTGAAGCAATTCGGCAGCGAAGGGATGTGTGGGCTGTGCTTGCCCCGGCAGGTTGCAATTCGCAAGTCCCTGTTCAGGTCCTCGATTTGCGGAGATTGCTCGGAAACGGAGCTTGAGAAAAGCCCAGGCTTGGGCGCAAGCGTTGTGGAGCAGAGCAAGCCTTGGAGCGCGGATGGCGACGATCGGATGGGGAGAAATGTGGGCCAGGCAACTCCGAAGGAGAAAACGCCCACCCATCAATCTGGTGGCAAGCCGCCCCTGTACAAAAACACCGCCCCAAACCCACAGTCACCTTCGGTCAGCCCGAAGCAGCATTTATCACCGGCGACGGCTGCCACTGGCTCTAGACCGGACTCCCGTGAAACACAAGGGACACCCCCACTTCCCCACAGCATCGGAGATGACGAAGACGTCGTGCCTAGCGGCAACGTTGGCGATGTCGAGAATGCAGAGCTAGCGGACTTGGAGTTTGACGTCACTCTTTTGCCGGAGGTGGCGACATCGTCGCTGAAGGAGAGCCTTGTCCAAGATGCCTTTGCGCCAGCGTCGGCGGCAAAAGCACCACCGGTGAGGCAACTTCGGGGATGCTCGGATGCTCGCGAGTGTTTTTCGAGTCATGCGCCGGTTCGCCGTCAGGCCGCAGGCGTTTGGAGCTGGACCGCAGCCGCAGGTGCCACCATGTGTAGGCTCCTTATGCAGGGGCCCGCCTGGGCCGGCAATAAGTAGAGGGATTCCGTTAAATCGCCACAGAGCAGGAAGGACCTCATTGCAAGGCTGGTTTTCGGGTGCGTCCCTGGTCGGAGCGCAGTCTGGTGTTCCGCAAGCGGGTCGAGCCTGCACGGCACAGTGCTCTCGTCTAAGCACAAAGCTTTCCGGTGCTTTGCCAGGTCAACCGCGATGCTTTAGCTCCCAGTGCCCAGTTGCCAGTGGCACTGCGACAGCGCCTCGCAGCAAGGGAGGCGCGTAGAAGTTTGTAGTCTGCATGTGGAAAGCCTTTCCATCACATGCTCACCTGACAGGAGGGGCTGCGTGAGAAGCGCCAGAATCGCCAGTCCGAGAGATCCGACGAGCCGTGGATGGAAAGGTTGGCGCGGTCAGTTGTATGCGAGGGCTGGGCCATGCTGGAGCCGCATGTTTCTGGGACAGGCCTGGCCCGAGGACGCGCAGCCCTCCCGGGCGCCTTCGCAGTGCCTCCGAAGGCCCTTCAGTGCAGCGCGCACAGGCCAGGGGAAGGCCAGCCTCCGTTGGCGCAGCAGGGAGGCGCCCGGAGCTGACACTTTGCACATTTTGCTGTCCGTCTTCGCGTCCTGCTGAGCCCTAGTAGCCCTAGTAAGCCATGCAATGCACAGTGCTCCTCTAAACTCTGGAGGCAGATGTTTGACAAGAATGAGCTGCGTGCTTTTCATCGAGACCTCTTCATGCAGGCAATCGGCAAGTACCAGGCGAAGATTCCCACGTGTGTCCAAGAGCCAGTGGACGGAACGTTGCTTCCAACTGGTCAGAGCCAAAGCTCCGCAAAAGCGAAACCAGTTCGGGTTTATGCACGGAAGCGACCTTTGTTTAGTGAGGAGGTCGCCAAGCGCAATGATTTCGACGTTCTGCACATCATCCCTGGCCCTGGGACACCATCACAGCTGGTTCTTCATAACTGCTTGTTCCAAGCGGATCTCCGTACCCCTATGGTGCACCACCTGCGCTTTGCCTTTGACCAGGTCTTCTCGCAATCGGCAGAGGATGAGGAAGTATATAAAGTCTGTGCCGCGAATCTCGTATCTGCAGCCCGCACGGGACAGGCCAGCACTGTGTTGATGTTTGGCCAGACTGGGAGCGGCAAGACGCACACCATGAGGGCCATCGAGACGCTAGCAGCAGAGGATTTATTCCGTGGAGAATCGAAGCTGTCGATCAGCTTTGTGGAGCTTCGGGGCTCGCGCTGCTTCGATTTACAGGTTCCAAACTTGCCCGAGCTGAAGCTTCGCGAGGTGCGCGAGGCAGCTGGAAATTTCTTTGTAGCCGAAGGCGCGGCTGAGATCTTTCCAGAAAACGTTGAGGCAGCCTGTGCCGCACTTCAGGCCGCAAGGCAGCGCAGGGCCACCTTCGTCACTGAAGCGAACGACGAGAGTTCTCGAAGCCATGCCGTCTGCACGATAAGAGTGCTGGATACAGGCGGATGCTTGACTCTGGTGGACTGTGCTGGAACGGAGCGGCGGAAGGACTCTGCAAATCATTGTCGTGAGCGACAACACGAGGGAGCCGAAATCAATGCGTCCCTGTATGCACTCAAAGAGTGCATTCGGTTTATGTCTGCCAGGCAGCGCATTCCACCGCATGCCTTCCGAGCTTCAGCGCTCACAAAGCTGCTTGCACGATGTTTGTCTCACTTGAATACGTCTTTCCTTTCCGTCATCTGTACCCTGGCTCCGGCTGCATCAGACACCGAGCACACGCTATCCACGCTGCGGACGGGTGCAGCTCTGAGAGTGAAAGCTGCCTGTGGGACCGAGCGGGAAGTCCTCCCAAGTGTCTCAGTGAAGAATCGAGATCCGCATCCTCGGCAATGGTCTCCGCATGAAGTTCGGAATTGGCTCTGTCAGGTCGAGAACGGCATTTTTTCTGCTGCTTGCTTGCAGGGAGTTGTCGGTGGAGTGAAGGCGACAGTCCGGGTTCTCAATATCTTTGAGAAGGCATTTACGAGTAGAAAATGGCCCGGCATCTACACCAGAGTCATCCAGAGTCTGATGCTGCTTGGGGATTCTTCATTTGCTTCAATTTGACGGAAGTGTGATTCCCAGTTTCGGTGTCGGCAGGCCGCATCAGGCCGTCCTTAGCAGCCTTAGCCTTAGTTCGCTGCAGCCGGCTGAGGACGTGTGCGCAGCGCTCCCAGCGGAGTTCACCGGCCAGATGCTTGCGACACGACTGCAACGCTTCCACCTCCGGAACATAGTCGCCTGAGAAGGTGATATTAGGATTGCATGGGCTTCGTGGTTCGGCAAGGATGTTCTGGCCTTGCTTCGGGAAGTCTGCTGGTCTGGCATCGTTTCCTGGATTGCTGGGACTGCTTGTATGCTCTGCAATGTGGCATATGTAAAATGTCAGATCTTTTTGCTGACGAGGCTACGCTGAGTTCTTGCACTGTTTTGCCTTCAGCTGGGCTCAGAACAGCTCAGGTGCGTCTGACGGAAGCCCACTGTGCGCGGCTTTGTGGCTCTCCAGTCCGAGGCTGCAGACGTTGTGTGTGAAGCCCATGCAAGGATCCTCTCATGTCCTCTCATCTAGGGCGGGCGGGCTACTGCTTGGGGCTGTGGGGAGGCCAGCTGCTCTTCGAGCTGCTGCATGAGTCCATGCAAAATTCAAATCAGCCGCTTTAGCAACAAGAAAAAGTCGCTCCGCGTGTTGGTTCTAGTGTCATATTTTGTCCCGCCGCAGAGACTCAGAGACTGTGATGCTGTAGTCTTTGAAGGCAAGATGCACCTGAGGAAGGCCGTTAATCGGATTATTACTTGACCTGCGCAACTGGTGAAGAATGAAGTATGTCTTGATTTATATAATTGTGTCCTGGGTTGAAGAGACGTCTAGAAACCAGAGTTAAGTAAAGATTCAGTTGTGTTTATCTTCAGGGCTCATTGTTTTTCGAGGAATGAAGCGTTTTCCTCTTCGGCTCTGCAGCGAACCGAACTCCATGCCTATGTGACACCCGCTAGCCTCAGAGACGAACTTTCCAGCAACCAACTACCTTCCGAAGGAACAGCAGTTGACAAGCAGCAGCCCTCGTGTTCGAAATGCCGTCTTCGTCGTCAAGACCTACCTGCTCTGCGCGAAGCCAGTTGCCAAGCGCACGTCGATCATCAGATCGATACAGATGCTTGCTGCTAGGTTGATGCTGATCTTTGTCAGGTTTATGCTGGATCTTTGTCGTGCTGCTTGGAACTGGGCCATGCGCCGCAGGCCCCCATAGAGCTGTGCTCACCCGCCGAAACAACAATGATTTTGATGCTCGACTTGCTGGTTTTCTCTGTAGCACGGCGCGAAAAGGCGAGTTAGCCTGCGGAGATGGTGCCTGTGCAGCTCCAGAGGACAGACTTCAACTGCTTGTTGGAGTGGAGTCGCTTGAAACGGCTGCTGCTGCAATGGGGGTCTTGGAGTATGGGAGAGTCACTCAGAGCATTCCCAGGGATGCGGCAACCGGAAGCACATTAAACTGTAGTGATGCGCGAAAATCAGACCTTGTCTGGCTGATCGCTGGAGCGTTCTGGACCCTGCACAGAGAAGGCGAATCCAAGTGAACGTGACGAGCTGGAAACCCTAAGCTTAAGCAGATGGCGCTGAAGGCCCTAAATACGTATTAGGAAGTTTGTATGCCAGAGACAATGAGCGGTACACGATGAATGCGAGGCATCTTCTTCCTAATTGCCACCAGGACCCAGATGCTTCGACGCTGGTGCAGCTAGAGCATCTCGTCGGCCTTTACTGCGCTTGTTGAGCTGCAAATTCTGCAGAGTAGTCGAGTTGTGTTGGGCGATATGAGGCATGCGTCCTCGCGAACGGTCATATCGGGTCTTGGCCTGCAGGCAACAACCAGCTTCTGTGTAGTCATTGACCACCTGTCCATGAAGACTTTGTCAGCATCAGTGTTCTCTGTGAAGGCTGGTGCCCGGGTCAGAAGCCCAACCCTGACACTGGCAGACTTTCAGAAGGAATCAGCGAGCTGTTACGAACGAGGCCCAGAGCCTGAGCATAGTTGGGCGGTCGTTGACTCCCATCTGCATGCACGCCCTTTTGGTGGGCCGCCAGTTCCATTTGCGGATCTGCTGGGGAGACTGAGGAGGGCTGGCATCCTCTTCACAACACTCTATGGCATTGGCCAACGCCTGCCAATAGATTCTGCATGTACTTACTACTTGGACTGTCCAGGAGTGAATATAACGCCGAGCTTGAAGAATGATTTCTTCAATGCACAAAGCGTCCTAGACAATGCCAAGATCCTCAGTGATAGCCCCGTCGGCCCTGTGATTACCCTCTCTATGTCGTTCTTCGACCTCCACAATGTAGATGAAATTCTGTACAAGATGAAGCTCCTTCAGGGGGAGTTTCCATCAATGTTCAAGTGGGTCGGCGAGATCAACTTGGTAAAGCAGGCTCTGTGGCCGAATAACCAAGGCTTGCCTGTGCCCCTCGAGTCGATCAAGACATGGGGCCCGTTCATGGAAGAGCTTCGCCAACAGGACATCCCCCTGTCATTGCATGCAGACTTGGGAGATGACGCAGATGGCCAGAAGTTTTTGCCTTTGATGGACGAAGTACTAAGACTTTACCCGAAAAACAAGATTATTTGGATGCACCTTGCCGGGCTTTCTCGCCAGCTGGATCCTAAGCTCTCTGCCTCATTCCTCCAGCGGCCCACATCCATTGAGGATCATGTGGAGCTCATCCAAAGCAGGCTGAAGAAGTTTCCGAAGCTTATGATCGACCTTTCCTGGGATGTTCTTTACGACGAGATCTACAATTCTGCAGCCGAGGAGAAGCCCTACATCAAACTAATCAATGACTTCCCGACGCGATTTTTAAGCGGATCGGATCATGTGGCAGCAGCTGTCAAGACAGAGGAGGTGTACAGTGCCCGCCCTAGATGTGCTTAGCTACCGATGTGCCTGGGGCGCTTCCAGTCAATCTAGTCATTGCTGGTACGCTCCACCAGCTGCCATCTTGTGCCAAGGGCTGGAACTCAACAAAACCAGCGAAATCTACCGGCACTTGAGCAACGATGCCTTTCGTCGCATTGCTCTTGGTCAGAATTTCTTTGATGTGGCAGGCCCTGGCGAATGCACCTGGAAGATCTTTCATTGCAAGCCGTGCCCCAAACAAAAGCTTGGGAGGATTGGAGTACACCGCCCCGAAGATCTGCGAGAGCAGCGCAAAGGCCGGTGAAGATCATGGCCATCTAAGAAACGGAGCTGCAACGTGCCCGGCAGACTTCGTGAGCACTGGCCCCTGCTCGTGGTAGGCAGCGCTTCCTGCGCAGCAAGCATCACGGAAACGGGCGAAACAGGCAGGCCGCTCTGGCAATACCTTGTGCCGAGTCCGGCCAACCCGAGCCTGTCAAGCAGTCTGATACAAATCCCAAGAAAGTGCATCTCAGCAAGTCGGTTTCTGGGGTTCTGGGATCTTTCTGCCTCAGCCTTCCTGCAAAGAGGCGGCGCCTTTGAAGCATGCCGACAAGCAGCAGGTGCAGGCGCGTGATCCATGGCTGATGACAGGGAGCACTGAGTGACTCGAAGGTCGGCGAGGTAGACAAGAGCAGGAGCCACCTGTGATTCACGATTGCAACTCCTCGCATTCTGTTGCAGCGCCGCCGAAGCACCCACGAAACCCAATTATGCAACCTTGCTTCTCGCGCACCTCTTTCTTGCTGTTTTCTGGGAGGTGAAAAACAAGGAAGCCAAACACTCCCACGACGTCAAGCAGGTTCGGATCCATCTGAAAAGTCTTACCTCGCAGGACAGCTCACACCCTGGAGCTTAACTGTGTAGGAGGGGCATATTCTGCAATTGATTGAACTTAGACCTGGCAGGTCCAGCGAGCTGACAAAGTGAGGTTGTTGCAGACATCTCCGTCTGTGTCCCTGCAAGATTTCACGGAGCACTCCACAACCTGCTACGACCGAGTCGCGACTGACGAATGGCCAGTTGTTGACGCACATCTACATGCGCGGCCTTTCGGGGGTCCGCCTGTTCCTTTCGACCAGTTGATTGAGAGGCTAAGGCGTGCCGGCATCCTCTTCGCCAACCTTTATGGCATCGGCCAGCGCCTTCCGATATCGTCTAATTGCACCTACTACCTCGACTGTCCGGGCACCCCGATTCGGCCGAGTTTGAAGAACGACTTCTTCAATGCTCAAAGTATCCTGGACAACTACGACACGCTCTCGTCCAACCCGCTTGGGCCTGTGCTCACACCGTCCATATCTTTCTTCGACTTGCATGCGGATGTCGAGGACAATCTGAAGAAGCTGAAACTGCTTCAGCAGGAGTTTCCCGGCATGTTCCGCTGGGTTGGTGAGATAAACGTCGTGAAGCAGGCGCTTTGGAAGAACGACCAAGGCCTACCTGTCGATGTGAGTTCTATCAAGTCTTGGAGGCCTCTTATGGATGAGTTGCAGAGACAAGACCTGCCGATGGCACTGCACAGTGATTTGGGGAACCAGTCCAATGGGCTCATGTTCCTGAACTTGATGGACGAGATCCTCAAGTTGTACCCAAAGAACAAGATCGTGTGGGTCCACATGGCGGGGCTGTCAAAGCAGCTTGACCCAAAGCTTGCACTGATCCAGTTGCCGCTATTGGCCCCACTGACCATTCAGCACCATGTGCAGCTCATTGAAGACCGGTTGGAAAAACATCCGAACCTGTTCATCGACTTATCTTGGGATGTTCTCTACGACGAAATCTACGACAACTCCTCGGAGGAGCCACATGTCGCGACCAGCTCGGTTCGGAATTCGTGCGCCTAAGATCAACCAATGCCAGGAAAGGCGGTACGTCGATCTGCTGAATGCCTACCCCACCAGGCAGCTCGGGAACCGAAAGAGGACTCGCTCCGCAGTGTGACTGGGGTGTGACGCAGGTTTTTGAGCGGCACCGACCACGTGGCGGCAGCTTCTAAGCCGGAAGCTGCATATCGACGCAGCCTCAGTTGGGGATGCCATTTTGCACTTCACACTGCTGGGCAGCAATGTCACTAAGACCCTCTAAGGAGACGAGCTGGCCAAGACGAGCGTGATCTACCGCGAGCTCACTGATGAAGCCTTCAGGAGAGCTTGCGGATTTTGTGAAGCATGTAATGGCACTGTTTTCGTGGGGTTGTGCTGTGCTGACAGATGCTTGATTTCCTCTTAGCAGCAGGAACATAGCACTTGGAGGGACTTACTTTCGACTTGCACATTTGCCGCAGCTGGGATGCAAGCAGCTGCGTGCTATCCACTTGTTCAACATCAGTTTGACCTCCCACCGCCCCACTAGGTTAAACGTAAACCCTGGCGTGCTTCATCCTACTTAGCGCCCAAATCCAGGTATCGACCGCCACCCATTTGTGGCAGGGCGCTCGGTTTAAGTCTGGCTCAGAAAATAGCTGTGCAGATGGGGTTTCGGACGCCGCTTCGGACTCACAGCTTGTTGCACGTAATTCCGTCGCACATGGGACGCACTTCTGTCTTGTGGCTGTCGTGCTCAGTGTGGACGGAGCGGGTCTGCTCTTCGAACCGTGTGGAAGGAGACAGCCAACCGCATAGAGACATGGACTACGTACGTAGGCACGGCGAAGCGGCGAGAGTCAAGTTGTCAAGGTAGGAGGCTAGGATCCAGGACGTCTTGAAGGCTGTCATCACTGAAGAAGTTTGGTCATGTTGGACCGAGGCTTGGCTGCAAGTGCAGTACCTGGACTGCTCGTGGCCGTGGCACTTCTGCAGGCAGGCTCCCGCACACGCCGCTTCAGAAGGACATCTTCGTGTGTGCTCTGTGCCAGGCAGCTATCTGGTTCTGAAAGGGCAAGTCCTCGCCAAGCTTGATAACTTTTGCGTCCAGCGCACACACCCTTCTTGATGCATGGTCTGGGCACCGGACTGTGCAATGCTGCAGTCCTGCCCGAAGCTTGCACCAGGCACCTGCTCCACGTGCAACGGAAAGCTGTCCGAAGCGTGATCACCTGTATCATGTATCTGAAAGGTTTACTTGATGTGAGATATCGTCTCAAGAGGGCCAGCTCCGACTATCAGCAGCGTTGCACCAGACACCCAACACTCAACACTGATGGAAGGGTTGTGGCTCGAAGCAGAGCGTCGGGAGTGGAATCTCCTCAGACCCAGTTTGTCGCGCTTGGAGCTTAGACCAGCTACACGGCTCGGGTATGCCGTCTTGCCACGAGCCACTTTGTGCAGGCTTGTCAGTGTCCTGACATGGGGGACTTCGTGTACCCTAGGCATGGCTGCATCCAGGACGGAGCTGAAGTGCACACAGTTTGCAGTCCTCGACCTTCATTCCTGGAAGGAGCTAATGCTGAAGGAGGCGGCCTGGACGGCGAAGTTCATCCGCCGCCAGCGCGAGGAGGAGGCAGAGGCAGGCTCCACAGCACGGCGCAGCATAGCACTGCACCGGCTTGACTGCAACCAACGAATCACTGAAGCCGTTTTGGAAGGAACGGGCTTTGCAGCAGCAGCGCTCGAAGTGGGAGCAGCAGGCTGAGGAGCGGCCCTCAGCCCGTCCTGTATGGAGAGCGACGTGCATCAGACAGAGGACACCATCGTGAAGTTCCTGAACTCTCCAAGCACGACGCTCCCAAAGGCCGTGTTATGATCGCTATGATTTCTTCCTTGAGCAGTCGTCACGTGGACAGTTGCGACCAAAGGCCAAACGCGTCGCTACCCCTGCAGCTGAGCCTTCTCCTTAGCGGGGAATGCTTGGCTGGGACCTGGATGAGCTGCCTGAAGGGCATGTCTTTGTTTCGTTTTTGCCCCAGAGCATGCAGCTGCAAAATGAAGTTTTGCTTCCCACTAGCCGAGGACGCACAACGGGGCCAGCAAGTGAGACGCGATTTCCTGGCAGGGCCCTCAGCGCCAGTGCATGCGGAGCCGTCAAAGCGGCATTGCCCCAGGATTTGCGCAACTGTAGCCGGCCAAGCCGGTGAATGGCCGAGCTGGCAAGATCTTGCAAGTGCTGTGTCGATGTCTGACCCAAGCTTTCCGCAGCACTACTAGTGTTTGTGTTTTTTGCAACCATGCGGCAGTTGTTCTAGTGATCCTTCACAGGAGAAAGACAAGTCTAAATACAGTTCCAGTGTCATCGAACCGAACAAATCGCTTGGAGCCTGCCGCGCCTGACTTCTCCAGATTCCAGGCCCAGGCAGTGACACATGTTGGCACCCACACTTCTGGCAGCTGTTTGGACTCGAGTCCGCATCATTGCCGACCGTCGAGATAGAACAGCAATGGCCGACGAAGAGGAAGCTGAAGAGGAGCCAAGTGAGCTTCGTCACGTGCAAAATCGGACTATTGACGGGGCTGACATGGAACGAAGGACCTAATCTGTATGTCGTTTGGGCAGGGTGTTTTTGAGTTGACACTGTCGCACACAACTCCCAGTTTCGCAAGTTGCAGTGTTACGCAGAAAGAGTCGTAAGCGGAACGGCCTTCTACTCGTCAAGAGTGCAGCATCAGACAGAGACAGGGGAATTTGTGTCAAGGTGCGGCGTTTTCCCCCGTCGTCGTCCATCGGCTCAGACTCTTGAGGGTTTTGCCAGAAGCACCACGCGTGCGACGGCGGAATCATAACGAGTGGAGCCATGGGTAGAGACCTTGGTGTGTTGATGGCTGGACCACTCATGTCATTGATAGCGACAACTGCTCTGCCGCTGGCGGCTGCGCAGTCTGCGCAGTGGCCGCAGACAAGCGGAGGTTCTGTGATAGGAATCACCCTACCGGCAAGTGCCGGTGGGGCAGCAGTCGACCAGTTTCTCGGCGTCCCATTTGCAAGGGCGGAGCGTTTTCAACCTCCCGTGGATTTTCACGAGAATTACACAGGAGGCAGTGTGACGGCGACCATGTGGGGTGCGGCCTGCATGCAGGTAGCAGGGGATCCCACACAGACCTACGGCAGCGAGGACTGCTTGAAGGCGAACGTGTGGAGTCCACGCCTTGCTTGGCAGACGAAGAAGAAGTTGCCGGTCATGGTGTTCATCTACGGTGGTTCCAATCAATTCGGGGAGGCGGAGCCCTACAACATGACTCTTGGACGGTTGCAGTCCGGATTGAGCCGGAAAGCCAAAGCCCCGTCATAGCCCAACTAGAGAGGTGGGAGAGAGAGAGAGAGAGAGAGACCGGCTTCTGCTGTTCAATTCAATTTCAAGGAGTGCTCTGGCCGCTTTTCACGAAGTCGTTTGTGTCTCGTTCAATTACCGTACGGGGCCGCTGGGCTGGATGGCTTTCCACGAAGACGTGGAGGCAAAGCGGTCTACGGGCAATTGGGGCATCCTTGATATTCAGAGTGCCTTGGCGCAGCCGAAGTTGTTGGAGAGCTTCCTTGCATTCTGCATTCATTCAATGGTCCAGCATGTCATGTTTGGTCACTCCAAGGGGTCACACCTGTCCCGCAAGGTGCCCTGCGCTGGGTGCAGAAGGAGGTCGCGGCCTTCGGCGGTGATGCCTCGCGTGTGGCCATCCACGGACAGAGCTCTGGGGCAGGTGCGGCATCGAGCGTCAACACCTGGCAGAGGTTGTGGATTCTTTCAAGCACTTGAGGTCTCGTGGAGCTGCAGTACGTCTCGCCTCAGTCAGCAGGACTCTTCCAGGGTGCCATCAGCGAATCAGGTGGGCTGTCGAGTGCACGAAGTTATGGTTGCGAACAGTCCCCTCGGAGGTAGCCTCAGTGCTATGAACTTGTCCCTCGCCTTGGCAAGCGCAACGAAGATCGCAGCCAGCTTGGGCTGTGCTACAGCCACCCTGAAGGCATGGCTCAGTTATGCGTGTCCTGATGTAGCCTCGTTGGGCGCCGGCTCGTGCAGATCCGCAGGTAAACAAGACGTGCCTTGCTCTGGCAGCTCGACTCATACAGCATACTGCTATCATGTTGAATACATTTCCCGGGGACTGGTTCACACGCAACCTGCCCAAGCAATCTCACCGAGCTTGGCATTGAGGTTCCAGCACTCAATCTCACTATGACCACTTACTCGGCACCATGGTCGCCTGTGACGGATGGCGTTACATTTCCATTGGCGCCCCAGGACTTCAAACGGAGAGAGAGGAAGCTTAATGATTGGTCTGCACCAACGAAGCACCAGAGAATGGATGGTCGGAAATGATAGTGTCGGTTCAATTTTCGCGTTTCTGGATTCCAGGAGTTGCTTCGTTTGGGCCGCGTCAACCCAGCAACCGTTGTCTTGGGGGCGCAGACGAACGACAGCAACTTGTTTCTCTTCCGGGAGCACACGCAGGACACCTCCGTCAGCGGTAACATCTGACGACCAGATCTCCCTCAATTGCATGAGAGTGTCTCCATGCAAACGTGGTAGCTGCTATCCGAGCACCTTACTGCGTTCGTACTATCATGATGGACCCTGGTTAAAAACAGGACGGCTTGGATCAGCCGAATGACCGGCCTGATGGTGCACTTAAGCCAATGTCGGACAAGCAGTACGGTGTCTCGATATGTCATGGGGGCTGGAGTTGGGCATGTGTATGATCAAATTACATGGTTAGATAAACACATAAACTGACAAACATATTTGTATGCATGTGCTTACATGCACACGGTCACATATCTGTGTATAGATCTATCTATCTATCTGTCTGTCTGTCTGTCTGTCTGTCTATCTGTCTATCTCTCTATCTATCTGTCCATTCATCCATCTACGGCTTATACAAGACCGGCAATGTGAAAGGCTTTAAAGGGTCCACGAAAGAATTAGTAAAGCAAGCGCGAAAGGAAAACACTTTTGCTCGAAAGATGTGTCATCACGTCATGACATACTGCAGGATCCAATTATGTCCTGTCCCAGCATCCTGAGCCGATTGAGCCTCAAACAAACTCGCGAGCCCTTAGTCCAAGCCTTTTGAACTGAGAGCGGTGTCCATGACACTTTGTAGGCTGTGTGAACCTTAAACCCTGCACCCTTGCATCGTTTGAGCCCCCAGCCCTTACAGATTTGAACTTCGGGCCTGTCGGCGCACCTTCTGCGTGCGTGGCGCACATTTAATTTGAACGAGTCCTCGGTACTTGCCTAGACCAATTCTATTATCTATCTAATTATTTATCTGTCTATCTACCTGTTTATCTATGTAATCTATGTGCACATTTGTCCACTTTTGCATCTGTTTACATATATGAATACATTCACATCGTTATATCCATATATTTACCCATCCAGTCACCCACCCACCCACCCAACCCACCCAACCCACCC